TGTTCTAGATATACAACAATATTGGTATACTGATTGAGATTTTTGATGCCTAAATGATAGCAAACAAGATAGCATAATAATTGTTATCTTTTTGATATAAATTTGAGCAGAAGATTACATTCTAGATATACAAAAATTAATATCACTGAGCTAGAATGACAACGCAAATACAAATTTATTGTCATTTGAGTGACGACACAAATGCAAATTTATATCTACTATGCCAAAATGATATCCTTTTTGATATGAATTTGGGTAAATAAATGTGTTCTAGATAATTTTTATTAAACTGATGACGCAAATGCTAAATTATATGCAAGATGAATATGGGTAACGAAAATTGTGCCAGAAGTCCCAAAATAGCTCTACTATTTGAGGATCCAAATATAATTCACAAGATAATGAACATGATTAAAGGGAAGTTTTATAAAAGGTTCAAGACTTGTATATGGAACTTCAGATGCAAACTACTAAATAACTGGGAAAGGAGAATGGAATAACAAATGACCTCAAGAAAAAGAAGAAACTAAGGAAAAAAAGAATTTTAAAGAAATCAGATAACCAAGAAATTAGAGCTAAAGAGAAAGAAGCTTTTAAAAAGACCCAAAAGGAAAAAGAAAAACGAGTTTTAAATCTAGCAAAAAAAAATAGTCAAAATTTAATTCAATATTGTGTGAAACCAAATTGGTCCTTCTGACAAGGTTGGCAGCTCTCAGCTAAGGATTAAAGAAACCAAATCCTCAGAAAGTTGAGAATCCAACATGAAGCAAATTTTGGCTGCTTAGGCAGGTCGCACCTAGGCTAAAAAGCCAAGTAAGTCTTATTAGTATAGGAATATAGTATAGAAAATTTATATTTAGCATAAATTTAAAGTTCTGATACTTCTGATGTAAAATAATAAAGGCAGGATCGCTAAAAAAAAAAAAAAAAATAGATTAACAGATTAGCAAAGAAACAGTTAGCTTTTCTATCTTTTCTACCTTTTCTACTTTTTCTATCTTTTTTACCTTTTCTACTTTTTCTACCTTTTACACCTCTTCTACCATTTCTACTGTTTCTTATTATTTCTATTAGTTACGAAAAAGAAATATAAATTCTGGCTTTTCTCCTTCCTGCTAGATAGTTTGAATTAAATACAGATACTTCTTTAATTATAGAATTCCTTTTTGTAATTACAATTTATAAACAGTAAATAAAATATATCTTTTTTTAACTATATATTTTCTTTGAACTGCTCTTAGTGAAGTTATATTCCACTTTTATACTACTACATATTGTAAAGAATCTTTGTAGCTATCTGCTTTGTTACTTGTATTGTATTAAGAAGGCTACAGTTCACTGTAACACTACTTACAAAATAACAATGTTTTGATTTTGGAATGGATACAATTATCTAGTTTTTAATTTAATGCATAATATACATAATTATTGTGCAGCCAAGTAATTGATGACTAGACTAAAAGTTTTCATATTTGTATAGATTATATCATTACAACTCATTTTTTTACTAACATACATATTTTATTATTGCTACAAATCAAATATAAAATGTTTTAATATTTATTAAAGGTAATATTAAAAATATTTATTTTTGCGATGTATAATAGTAGTTATATATATGAAATGTAATGTTTGAATTCATAAATAAATATCTCTGAAAAATTTCTTTTTGAGATTCCTGAATTTCGATTATTTTATACAATTCTTGTGTTTTAGCATAGTTATATTAGATATTGGCTGCAATGAATATCTCAAACTTGGGTTTGCTAATGTTGTTAGTGTTGAAGCTTTTGGACTTGATAATGCTGGATGGCTTGTCATTAGTGTTGAAACTTCTGGGCTTGATAATGCTGGATGGTATGTTGTTAGTGTTAAAACTTCTGGGCTTGATAATGTTGAAGGATCTGTTAACTATAATGTTGGTTCTGGAGCTTTCAGGCTTGATAATGCTAATTGGTTTGTTAATCATGATGTTGGTACTTGAGATTTTTGTTTTGATAGATTAGAAGGCATGTTCGATACAAGGTTTGCTAGTCAATATAAATAAATTAGAATTAGAATTACAAAATTTAAAAAAATTATTTTAATAAAAAAAACTTGCCTTAATAAATTTGTCTTGCTGATTTAAATCCTTGGTACAAGTTGTTAGTAGAAAGTGTATTTGTAGAAAAAGAAAGTTGGGTATTTATATAAAAAAAAAATGTTATTTTTTATTTATTTTTATTTATTATATATAGTATATTTTCATTATTTATCCAATGTAGCAGTTCCAGTTTCAAAAGAATCTATTGAAGCTATTAAATTATTTAAAGCAAATTGTTGAATACCATCCTTTGGCCTTTCATAAGGAGCAGTTGTATCAATATCTTTTAATCATTGTACAAGGGTCTTACAACCTGCTTGATTAGTAATTTTATGTTTTTCACAGTTAATTTCAGTTTTTTCTGCAAGTGTTTTCATAAAGTTTTTCATTTTTAATTGACCAAGCTGATTCTTTTAATACCAGATATTAATTAATGAATAATCTAAAATATAAAAAATATAAATTAAATGTTAGTGCATATATATAATATATATTAAAAAAATGATTAAACTAAATCTCTAATAATGTACTAGGTGCAGCCTTTGTATCAATAGGATGTAAATAAAATGCAGAATTAGCATCAACTGGCTTTTTTAAAAAATATTTTTTATAATCAGCAATTATATTCGTATTTTTAGCAGAAATTGTAATTTTATCAGCAGATCCAAGGTTGTTTAACTCATGCTGATTTGTTTTTAACTTATAGATATACACATCAAAACCTCTATCTTTTCTTTTGTGAAAATGATCTGCTATTAGCGTGTAATGTTCACCTCCTCTTAAAGCTAAAAAAATAGCATTATAAAAAAAATTCTGCATAATAAACTATTAGGTATATTTCTTGATGTTGCTTTGTAACTTAAAATCATTCTAATTTCTTCAAATGTCAAAGCATCTGATCTATTTGTTTCACCGCATCTTTTTTTAGAAAGGTCTTTTGTTTTACCATCAATTATTGTCCACAAATCTAGAAATGCTTGTCAGTCATATAAATTAACAGGTCTTACTTTACTAATAGTCGAATTATAAAACCTGTTACTGCAGCTAATAATGATAAAACAGTATATAGTGATCCATCTCCTTTTTTAACAACAGTGAAGTATTCACATAGTTGAACTTCTAATTTGATCACATTATCAACTTCTTCTGCGGCATCTTCTAACCCAACATCAGAATGATACTTTTGAAATTTTTGTATTCAATTAAGTATTGATTTTTCTGTATTATGAACTTTAGATTGAATTTGTTCTTGGGTTGGCTTTTGATAAGTCTTTTTTTTATTAGTTTTAGTCATTTTAATTTATATGAATATAAAAAAAAAATAACACAAAAGTGTTAATAAAAAGAGAAGTGTAAAATGATATAAAAAAATTTATATATATACTCAAATTTTAATTGGTAATGTAATTTATATGAAAACAAAATTCTAATTAATACGTAATCAATACAAATATAAAAGTTTGATATAATCGTCAATTACTGCTTTACAATAACTATAAATTATGCTATCATATATAATGCTTTTAATCAATTATTATAGATTAATAATATAGTATATATATTAATAAGAGTCAACGGATTAAAAAAATAGATAAGAATAGTCACCATATGATACAACCTGCCTAATAACATAGATCTGAAATTAAAAAGACATCAGACTTCAGAAATTTCATATGAATAAAGTAACCAAAGAATAAAGTAATTGAAAGCCACTAACTATAATTAATATTTAAAGAATTAGTAAATAACTAATTTCAACATTTGTTTCTCTTTCAATAAACCAAGAATTATAACTATCTCTTTTTTTGACTCAACTCTTCTTACCACATATTGTAGTCTCCTGTTTTTTGTTATTTTCCTATTTAATATCCAGCCTGCTTAAAAAATTATTAGCTAATACTGCTTCTCATTTATTTTACTATTATGATAATACCTGACACAATCTCACTTACTAATTTTCTCAGAAGCATATCATTATTTCAGTTCAAATTACTTAGCTCAAATTGCTCAACTCAATTTATGCAGCTCAAATTACTCATAATATATTCTGCAGACTTAAAGTTCTTTAATTAAATTTATTTCTAGTACCTTTGGCTTGCTAGCATTATTCTAATTACATAATCAATTGCATATTATTCATATCTATACTTTTTGATTACTTTCTTAGCTTTAAGATGCAGTATTAAATATTGTCAGCATTAATAATATTAATGAATAACTTATATATACAGTAATTAAAAGAAGTTAAATATTTATTTTACACATGTCTTTGTTAATTTAATTATAAACTCAAAAGCTGTAGTCTAATTTTTTTTTAATATTATTTGAATACAAACATAAAGCTATCACTTTGTTTGCTTTTGTATATTTTATATAAGCTACATGCTGTGCTTTTTAATTACATACAAGTTGATTCACTAACATAGATTAGTTCTTTTCAAAGTCTTAAAGGAGTTGATCTTTGACTTTTTCCAGAGGTTTTACTAGGGTTTCATAATTATGCAAAAGTTTTATCTTTTGTCAAAGTTTTATCATTTTGCCAGAGTTTTGATAAAGACAACTAAGTCATATAAAGCTAGAATTTTTAGTAATGCATATATAAATAAGATAATATCTAATCATATAATGTATATAAAAAAGGATATTCAAGCAACAGCATGAAATACCAAGTCTAACAAAGCTGTAATTTTTAGTAAAACATGTATAAATACCAGTATGCTTAACAGTTAGAAAATATATAATATATGAGTATTAGTTTATAATAAAAACTATAACAACATATACAAATGGCACAACTCTTTCTGATGATCACTTGAACCAACCATTTACAACCAACTCAAGTTGAAAAATTCGAAGTTAGACATCTAAAACTATCCAAGTTTCTTCTTTCAGTCACTGTTGATGAAGCCTTTAATGTGATACATCAAGAAGCGAGCATTAAAGAAGTGGTTTTTAGGCTGGGTCAAGCCTTTTCTTCTCTTGGTGGACTCCCTCCTATATTCAACATCCAAGCCAGAAGGGTTTTTCTGGTAGTG